TCATTGCACAGCGCTCCATCAAGCTTCACAGTGTAAATAAACAATACTAGCTAGCATTGCTGTTAGTTAATGATTATTTTTTGTTTTTGTTGCTGTAATTTAGCACTTGTTGTTCAATGTAATGTATAGTAATCACGTTGATAAGTAAATAATAAATATATGCGCGCATTAATAATAATATTAATTTATTGACACTTTTTGTTGTCGCCGCTAGTAACTTTATTTAATAGAATTATTGTTGTAGGCGCTCGTTGGTTCAATGAGCAATTTGTGTTCCGTATTACGTATGCAGATATTTGAATTGTAGCTTTTGTTTTTGTTGTTTTTATATTTGCAGTATTATTTTCCTGTGTTCAAGCGGCGACAGTTGAATAATGTTTGCATAAAAAGGATTTTGAAAAGTTATTAGTGGCAACCTTATAGCTTATTGAGTAGTTTGAGTGTTTGTCGTTATTGTAATATTTGAAAAGTTATACTGATTCCTCCAAAAACAATTTTTGTATGCCATAAAACCGTTATTTATGCCAAAAAATTAAATCCACTCAAGCACTTATTGAGTAAAATGTTTTCACACTCAGTGATTTACCGTTAGTTGTATTTTCGATTTTGCGTAATAAACACAAATCCGTTTTATTTATTCAAAAATAATTTTGTAAACCATAAAACCGTTATTTATGCTAAAAAACCAAATCCACTCAAGCCTTTATTGAGTACAATGTTTTCACACTCAGTGATTTACCGTTAGTTGTATTTTCGGTTTTAGGTAATGAACACAATCCGTTTTGTTTATTCAAAAATAATTTTTGTAAACCAAAAAACCGTTATTTATGCTAAAAAATCAAATCCACTCAAGCATTTATTGAGTAAAATGTTTTCACACTCAGTGATTTACCGTTAGTTGTATTTTCGGTTTTTGATAATGAACACAAATCCGTTTTATTTATTCAAAAATAATTTTTGTAAACCATAAAACCGTTATTTATGCTAANGTTGTATTTTCGGTTTTTGATAATGAACACAAATCCGTTTTATTTATTCAAAAATAATTTTTGTAAACCATAAAACCGTTATTTATGCTAAAAAATCAAATCCACTCAAGCATTTATTGAGTACAGTGTTTTCACACTCAGTGATTTACCTTTGGTTGTATTTTCGATTTTTGATAATGAATCCGTTTTATTTGTTACAAGTTGCTCAATTGTACACTCAAAACTCATTATGTTGAACAACTCACAAATTAACTCAGTGATTGAGTAGTTTGACATTTGTGCTGCTATATTAAGATACTTCTTTAAGTGCCGTTTTCTCAATGTTTGCTTAGCGACAATCTGTCACTTCTAAATTCACTCTACTTAAAATCATTTCAAATCCAAAAATCACAAAAACAGGTTCGGATTCGCTAAAAAATTGAAATTATTAACAAAAAATATTATTCCTTCGAGCATATCAAAAAGTCGTATGGAATTTTCAAGTCGATCGTGACGTTTCAGCAAAACTTTCCACTGCGACTGTGAAAACAGCGTTGCAAAAACACGTTTAAAGTATTGGGAGTCATTTATACTGAGTTGAAGAAATCTGACAAATACGTTCCTATCTCCGGAGATTATCTTCAAATTTCGGAGAATAAACATACGTTCAAATGATGCTCAGCATTCATTATTGGATAATATTCGGCCGAAAAGAGCTGTCATTCAAAAAATAAATGCCGAAGAATGTTCTTTCGAATTCTCCAATAAATTTGAAGTTTCTGTGTTTTTTCTTTGAAGAAATAGTTATAACCCCTTAAAGCAATCTTCAGCTGATTTAAACACAAAAACTTTCAGAGCATTAAATCAAAGGTTTCGCATTTCCAAACAACAGAAATAGTCAGCTGTAATTCATGCTTTGCAGCAGTAACACAAGTCGTCTGTATATACAGCAATTGCTGCATTTTTTCACTAACTTCAAATCAACCCAATCTCAGTGTCATAAAATTAGCATGCTTGAAAAGAAAACTACTAAAATGTTGCTCTGCCGAATATTAATTACACCTGCACGTAAGAGATTTTTTTGTGGAATAGATAAGCAATTTTTTTTTACAACTTCTATAGTGTGTACCATGTTAATGGCGATAATTAAGCTCGTAAAGATTTGCATATTTTCATACGTACTCAAAGTTAATGAGTCAATTGAGATATTAAAATAAAAACATTTCTCCTTAGAACACGTGAATAGTGTGTCAGATTATTTAAGCATACGTATAATCACGCTCTACCCTGACTCGTAACTCACTTTGCGCGTATAACAGGTGTTAGTGTGTGAATTTTAAGCGAAGTTAGATTTCTTCTGAATGTTTAATAAAACTAGCTAGCAATGCATTATATGTAGTATTATAGTTCCGCCTATATAAAATTTATGAGGCTTAGCGAAATTGCAAATTATGACTGGGGTAATGAAGATAAGTTGATAAATATTTTTTTGTACTTATAAATAAATAACGGAAACAGTTTAACTAAAAGCGTAATACAATGAAACAAAAATTAAAAGAAGAAAAAATCAAATCACAAAAACTTAAAAAAAAAATATAATAAAAAATTTTTAAGACAAAGTACTAAAAGTTTATACATTATATTAACAAAATGTATAAACTTTTAGTACTTTGTCTTAAAAATTTTTTATAGATGTGTATAAGAGACAGGTATACGGCTATTCCTAGGCATCCGAAAACTGTTTAATCTTTTAATTTTTTTCAAACATTTTTTTAAAACATATTTTATACACATCTCTTTCAGAATATAATGAGACGTTTCTGGAGCAAACTTTCCATTATATTGAATATGTACTACATCAGCCATTGGCACGTGACACACAACTATGCGAAGAGGATACTACCGGTACACCGTTAGATGAGTTTCCTGAACTTTTCACGGGTATGTACATAAATGATAACAAAAACAACAATATAATAAAAGCATAAAACAAACAAATCTAAAAATGTGCATACTATTTCACATGCGGAGAGCGTACATGCATAAAGCTTGCAAATAGAAAAAATATCGGCAAACAGCCTTAAAGCTTTGCATAAAACTTACAATTAGAAAAAATGTCGACAAACCAATGTAAAGCTTTGCATAAAGCTTACATGTAGAAAAAATATCAGCAAACAGCCTTAAAGCTTTGAAAGCTTGGTGTAAATTGCTAGTGCGAAAATATAAATACATATTTAATTATTTCAAATTTAGCTGCTATTTTTTTACTAGCTGTTAAAAGCGCAGACAGTTTTAAATAATTCACAGAATTGTATAAAAAAGCTTTTTGCGCTTAAGCGATTTTGCTGCAAAAATATATAGATATTTTAAAAAACTATAAGCGTGAAACTATAACTTGTAAAGCTTTCAAAGCTTAAAAGCTCAACTTTTATAATTCAGCTTTAGGTCAAAATAAATGTTGAACTCTAGAATTCCGAAATCCATATCGAAGTATTTAAATAAAAGCTTTCAATAATTTGTAATTAAGTTTGAAAAACTCTAGCATACGCAAAGCTCTGGAAGCTCCGTTCATATTAATAAAAATATACATAAATTGATACTTATTTAAAAAGTAGTTGCTGTTTTTTACTAACCATTAAAAGCTCGCAATGTTGTAAATAATGCACAGAAATTTATTAAAAAAAAAAGCTCGCAAGCGCCTTCATTATTTTTAAATAAAGATAAAAATTAGCTGGAATAATATTTCGATATTTTTTAAAACTCTTATAGAAAAAACTTCCACGCCAAAAAATTAAAAGAAACGAAAACACCTCGCCAAATAAGCTTTCAAAGCTCAATTTTTCTTTTTCAAAATGAGCTTAAAAGAAAATTGTGAACTATTCACTCCAAAAAATCTGCAAAAGCTTAAAAGCTTTTCGGCAATTCATAATTAAACCTACATTTTTATAACTACGTGGAAAAGCTCTAGTTCTGCATCTGCTTAGGAAGCATGAAAGCTCCAAATTTGCCAAATATGCAATGAAGAATGCATGCTTGTGGCGTAAATTTAAAAAACTCAGTTCAAAATTGAGTAAAAGTTTTAAAGTAGATCTCTGGATATTTTGAAAGCTCAAAATCTTGAGTTTTTAATAGTTTTGATTTGAGCTTTTGAAATCGACAGTACACACTGAATGTATTTGCTGTACAGCAGTTAAAAAACTTTTAAAAAAATTTTAGTAATTTGTAATTAAGTTGAAATTTTTAGAAAAACCTTAAAAAGCTCATGTTTTGCATCAGTTTAAAAAGCATAAAAGCTGGATTATACAATGCAAAATTCAATAACAAACAAAAATTTTCTAAATTATCAGCTTTTAAAAGCTTTGAGTTAAAAAAATTATTGTTAAAGGCTTCGTTGAAAAAAATTCCAGGAAAGTTTTTCGTCTACCCCAGTGTTATGTATAAAAATATCAACATGTGGGCTATGTATAATAGCTTATCTCATTAAAAACTTTAATACAAATAATTATTGTTTTATAACATTTTCACAATGCTTATCGATACTAACACATATTGAAATTATAAGTACCCCGCAGAGTTCATCAATTCTTTTTTAATCGGCCGGCATCAGTAAATTTGCAGTAAAGTTCTTTTTAATTGATTTATTATCAACATTGTAAGTGCCTAACTCAGTGGAATCCAATTAAAAAGTAGGGAAAACCCGCTAATTAGAAGGTGGTAGCAATCTTAAGGAGGCGATTTCTGAGATTATTTCTAAGAGGCCGAAAATTTACCGATTAAAAAATATATACTATATGTAGAGTTGTTTTGCTGGTGTTGATTTTTTTACAAAAATACTTATAGAATATAGAAAGAACCTTATGGAATAAAAATTTTAGGTAAAAAAATTATTAAAGTAATACTGTCTTTGTAAAAAACAAAAAAAAATTTCGGAATGAAATTTTTTATTAAGAAAAGTATAGCCTTTTTGCTAAAATTCTCGCAACAAAATTAATGATAATAAATTTTAATGAAAAATATTTAAAAATCACTTACCAAACTTAACACTCTTCACCTCTCTTCTCCTCCGAACAGTGGAGCAATTACGTCAAGGCTGGGTCGTGTTGCATGTCTTTGCCGCCGTCTATTTCTTCATACTGCTCGCTATTATTTGCAACGACTATTTCCTGCCCACCGTCGAATGTATATGTGAAGATTTGAATTTATCCAAAGATGTCGCTGCGGCGACTTTTATGGCCACCGCCACCTCAATGCCCGAATTCTTTACGAATACGATAAGTACGCTCATAACGGATTCGGATATGGGTTTGGGCACGATTATCGGTTCGCTGATGTTCAATACATTGGGCGTGGCTGCGTTGGGGGCGTTGTGCATAAAAAAGGTAAGTCAGTAGTAGTAAACGCGGCGTATACGCAACCAGTTATATTTTTATATTTTAATTTCAATCTCATTTTTAAACGCTCTTTCACAGCCCGTTCAGCTGGACTGGTGGCCTATAGCGCGTGATTGTGTCATATATAGTTTTAATACAATTGTACTAATTATACTCGCCTGGGGTGGCTATGTCAGCTTCACCGAGTCATGCATCATGATGGGTTTCCTCATTTTCTACTATTTGCTCACCTTTAACAACAACAAATTTATGCCAGCCATACGTGTTTTCGTGGAGGATAAGATGAATTGCTGCATATCGAAGCGATATGGTGAGTAAGCATAAGAAAAAAAGCTGAAATAAAGAAAATAAAAAACTTTAAAACACAAAAAAAAATGAAAAACTTTTAAAACAAAAAACAAAGATATAATAATTTAATAAATAAAAAATAATAATTTCATTAAAGCGGAAAAAAGTTCAGAGAAAAAATATATTTTGAAAAAAATGGAAAACATGGATTGAGGAGAAGAAATATATATTAAAAATGAGAAAAATATTTTCATGAAAACTGATTTTCAAAAAAAACATTGTGCATTAACGATAATTAATCGATAATTGTGGGCTATTCTACTTAAATAAATACATATTAAATTATATTTATGCAATTATTAGTACTTTAATATTTATATTTGTATTTATTATTATATTTTTGTCAAAAGTAATAATTTTTATATATTTTTTCAAATATTTAATTATTATTATTTTTATAATTTTAATTATTTCTCCAGTATTTATAAATTTTTTTATTATATTTTAACTATTATTTAGTATATTTTATTTTATTTTTAATATTTAATTTTCTTCTTCTACAGATTTTACCGAGCCACCAGAGAATAGCGCTAAGGCGCGACTGCCGCTTAAAAAGGATCATCTGGGCGGTGATGGGCTATTTGTGATAAATTTACCCGATAATACCTCATCGACAGTGAACTTGACGCATTCAAAAAGTTGTAAGTTCATAAAAAATTATAGAAATATAGAAAAAATATATAAAATTTCGAAATAAATATTTTCATTAAAAAATTATGATATTTAAGATGTGTATAAGAGACAGGTATAAAATTGTTAATTATTAGAATAACATTATACTGTAGCATTTAATGAAAAAAAAATTATTTTTAAAATTTTTAAATTATTTTTTTTTAATAAAAATGTTAATTTTGTCGACTTTCATATTGTAAGGTTTAATACAAATTAAAAAAGTTTTAACTAACGTTTTTAACTCTGCAGATACTAGCGACGAAAGCGATGATGTGCCACCGCAGCCGCAACCGCAAAAACTCTTCTCACTGCCACATGGTGAGACGGCATTTCGAAAATTTTGGTGGGCCTTCACATTTCCCATTAAATTTACACTCACATTTGTTATACCCCATCCCGCTTATCATCGTCGCCTCTATCCACTGTCATTTGTGATGTGCATCATTGCGATTGGTCTCAATGCTTATATGATTGTGTGGATGTTGACCGCATTTGGTGAGTAAAAATTATTTTATACCCATTTTTATTATATGATAATAATGTAAATCAAATTAATTCGACTGTGCAAAGTAATTAATGAAAATTACGTATAAATTAATCAGAGATAATTTGTCGCAGTGACTTTCGTCATTTTATGTTAATTAAATTTATAGTTAATAAAGGCGGGATTTATTTATCTCAAAGTCAATCTAACTGACAACAAATCCGTCAAATAAAAAATGTACATTTCCTAATTAAACATTAAACAGCCGCTTGATTGTTCTGTAATTAGCAAATTCTGGGATTTACAAACTAGATTACACAATGTATGTGGAATGATCATTATATGAAGATATTGAGTAGAATTACCCATTAACTGTGAAAAGTTTGCATCTGAGCTAAATTCTCTAGGCGGAAGTTTGTGTCCGAGCTAGTTCTAAATTTAAAATGTTCGCGTCTTTGCTTAATCAATTGACTGTTAGGAGGTTTGCGCCTATACTAATTTCATTTTTAGTGATGTGAAAATATTATACGCTGACCGATCACGCGTTCTTGCTGGCTTAAAAACAAATGTCTGATGTGATGTATATATGATGTGATCACGAAGAAAAATCGAAAAAAAAGTTTAAAAGTTTTTTTATATATTATATACTATAATAATAAGTTATAATTAAAAAAAATATATATATAAACATAAATATATATATTTTTTTATTCTATTACAGGTGTTGCGGTAAATGTACCTGAAATAATTATGGGACTCACCTTCTTGGCGGCCGGTTCAACTATGCCCGAGGCGGTTTCCAGCTGTATTTCATTGCGCAATGGTGAGTAGAGAATCTCTCTGTCTCTGTCTTACGTCTTAAATTTTGTATTCACATATAATTTTCTGACGTCACATTAGCGAACATATGGGAACTAACACATTTCGCACTATTTTCACTTTTTTAAAAAGTAGCACTCACTCTCTCACTGTTTTTTTTATTCTCTTTCACCTTAATATGTCTTCTCACTCTATCTTTAGACTTTTTAAAAACTCACTTTTGACCAATTTAACAACACACACTCTCTCTCTCTCTTCTTTCACTATACATCTTATCGCTCACTTTTCCAATCAATCAAATAATATTATATCTACTATATCACTCTCGTTCTCTCTCTCTTTTTTAGGTGAAAACGGCATTGGCGTCTCCAACTCGCTGGGCGCCAACTCACTTGCCATCCTACTCTCGCTGGGTGTGCCATGGTTTATTAAAAATTGCATGAATTATGGCAAAACAGATGGCAGCGCTATGATTCAGATTGCCGCGCAAGGTATTGAATTCAACATTATCATTCTGCTACTCTGCACCTTATCGCTCTTCCTCGTATTGAGTTTTAGCGGTTATCGGCTGACGAAACGCGCAGGCATAGCCTTGATCGGCGTCTACTTAGTATTCATTGTCCTGCAGATTTTGATTGAGATGAATGTGTTCTTCCCAAAACAATGCTAGTGAGCAAAACGAAAATCGTAAAAATGGATGGTTGAAAAGTAGTGTGTTGTGAAACTATTTCTAGTATTTTCTTTTATATTTTTATAAAAAAACAACATTTTTTTACGTGAGCTAATTAAGACTGTTTAGTACTATAAGTACGATGTATAAAAACACCAAATCTATTTAATTACACAATGCGAAGCCAAATTTTAGCTGTTGAATTTTTAGGTTATGTAATTTTTAAGTTGTAAATTTAGTATCTAAAGTTTAGCATTTGCCTATGTACTTGTACACCGATTTTAGTTAATATTATTGTATGTATGTAGATATATTTTTTTTTTTTTTTTTTGTATTACAAATTAGCCGAAAATTGTGCTATAGCCAATTAATTAGTGCCAGAAATAGAAATAGGCGGCTGGAAAATTCTGCGTAGGTACACTATATGTATGTATAAGACCGCTTCGCAATAGAAAGGCTATGTAAACTTGTACTTAATGAATATATACTCTGCTGAGTAATAAGTATATTAGCTTATTTATTATTATTAGATGTTTTTAATACTGTTGAGTATAAAGTTGAGAATAATGTGTATGTAAATAAATTTACAATTAAAACTTTAGAAGTTGAATTATGTAAAATAATACGTCAGACGTATCAGCTTTGGCGATAGCTAGTGCTAAGTATGCTCAATAACTTTTCATATTTAATTGAGTTTTTTAGAGAACCAAAATTATTTAATTTCATCTTACCTCGTATTTTTTCTAAATTTGAATCCGGTTTTGAATTTTCCTAAGAGCTAACAAAAAATAATTTTCGCCGCAACAACATACATAAATCTTGAAACTGCTTTCACCAACCGCACACACAAGAGACGACAAACATTCATACTAAAAATGTAAAATATATAAACAACGAATTAGCATGTAAGCAAGTGATGTAATAAAAACGGAAAATAAATCATTTTTAAGCAATTACACAAAGTCTTTTATTAATGTGGATAACCAAAAGTGTAGAAAATGTATATAATATAGAATAATAAAAAGTTTATATGAAAATAAAGTATTTGTAAAATATTTTGAAAACTTGTTTGAGCTAAAAATAAAGTAAAAACAAAAAGTATTTGTTAAATAATTACTACTAATTAACTACAAATAAGTGCAAAAAAAATAATAATAATAAATAAAATAAAATACTAATATACATACATATGTATGTATATGTGTTTTTAATACAGTAGTCTTTCACTATTTCAGCTAAAGTAAAAAATCTCTTAATTTTCTTTTAATTCGTACTTTTATTTTTAGTTGGCGTTTTTTCTTTCTTTAGCAGGTATAATTATTGTAAAGATTTTTTTTTTTAATTTATGGAGTAAATGTTTTTAGCACTAAGAAAAAATATATACAATTATGTATTTGTTTATATATTTATGTTTATTTTGAATTATGTAATGATTAAATACTAGTTTTTGGGTCTTACAAAATGACTCGAAAGAACTTTTATGTCTTCATAAAATAATATTTTATTAATCAAATAAAAAAATTAAATATTAAATAGAATTTAAAATGCGCCTAAACGAAAATATACGCTCTTCCATGGCCAAGACAACTTTTGAAAGTTTATAAAAATCAACAAATTAATATAATACCAGCAACTAAAGCTCGGAATATTTCTTTATTTAACGTTAATTGAGTTAAAATTTTCCTTCAACTAATTATCTATGCCAGTTCTTAATCTAACAATATTTTAATACAAATTTATTAACAAAAAGAAAAAATTTTGAAAACCGATTCAGTGCAAAAAAAAATAAACTAAACAAGCAGTAGAGGTGCATTTATTTACAGTGTAAAAAAATATTCATTTTCTAGAAACTTTGAAAATTATGAGTTTATGCCACATTGTGTTCGAATAATTCATAAAATAAACGTACAAATTAATAGTTAAATTTGTCAATTATTTAAAAATTTGTTGTTTTCGCTTAAAATATTAGACAGTGGAACTAATAGCAATTGCTCCGAAATTTTAAAAATATCGAGGTTATTTATTATTAAGATCATAAAATTTGTAATTAAATTAATTCTTTTTGTTACCGCTTAAAAAATTAATATATAAATAAATAATAAGAATAATATATTCAACTAAAAAAAATCGAATAAGCACTTTCAGCAAATAATTACTTACTCTTAAACATATTTTTTTCAACGTTATTTGTTTTATTTGGTATCGTGTATATATGTATGTATTAAATGTAGTATATATGTAATGTATGTATGTTTGTGTGTGTCATTCATTAATCAATGCATTTATTACAATGAAATTACTTTATTTACACGCGTTTCCAATTGCAGTGAAATTGCATGTAAAAAAATTAAATTATACATGCTTTGTCATTTAATGTTCATTTTACATTACGAACGTCGCTTTAGCGAGGCGCAGCCTTGTTTTCATCTAAATTTGAACTTAACGTATTATTCTTATTATTTCACGTTACAACTATTACTAAATAAATAAATAAATTTAAATGTATATAGGCAATATATTTGACTTTGACTGTTTTACTTTTTAATTAATTAAAAATAACTACATAGTAAATATGCTTTAATAGAAGTCCTTTAGCACTTGATTCTTGCTTATTCGATTTTACGTTTTATTACCTGCATTTTGGGTAGTTGGCTCACTCTTTCCATGAAATTCATTTTGTTTTACTATGCTAAATACTTTAGCGCGTTTTTTTTTATAATTTTTCGCTTCGCTACGACTACCGCATAAATTGAAATGTATTACATTTTTAATTCTTCAATTATAACGCCCGCACGTAGAACGCATCGTTACTACCTAATTAAGTACAACAATGATAGACATGTCCGCCACTTTTCATTGTGTATTCATTATACGCCAATTTGCTGTAACTGCTATGCACCTGTGCAGACTCAAGTGAGTTTTGCAGGGATTTGCAAGAGAATTGTCGATGATTAGTACCATCCTAGAAAAGAAAATTAGCAATAACGTAATTAAAGCTCGAAAGCAGGTGAAATATTTGAACAAAAAATTCCAGCATACGCTTCTAAAATTTGCGCCTTCTGAATCATGCACCATTTTCAGTTTGCTACACACTTCACAGCACAGCATCTTGAAAAAATTCATTAGAACACTTACCTTAGGTTGTATGGGAAAACAACACCAGAGTATAAACGCTATAAATGCCACCAGCGTGCCCACCAGCAGTATGAAATCCTCGATTGTCTATTGAAATAAATACCCAGAAATTAAAATTTTAAACTCAATTGTTGTAAAGTGAATTTTTATATGCAAATTTGAAAGCACTTACCGGTTCATCACCCAACAATACATGATTGATCAGATATGCGAAATCATCGAAGGGCGTCATGTCTGTTACGAAAACCCTCTACAATGCTTCTATACGTTTTTTATTATCGCTATTGGGTTTTTTGTTCGCTCCAAGTAGCAAATCACTATGGTAGACTTTAATCTGCAAGCCCCCAGTTGCCTTGAAGTTTTTCGTTATTTTATGTACTTTTATTGATAGCCGGTAATTTGTTCTTACCAGTAAACGAACGACTTTACAAGTTCTTTATTCCTTTACAACAATAACTTCTGACAATGTTGGTGTTGATTTAAAACTATTTCAAATCGTGTATACCCGTTTAAAAGTAATTTTTTCCTATTTTTTGCTTTTATAATAGTCCTTAATGATGGATATATTAATATGCAAACCACTTTGTTTTGTGTTTTTGATAGAATTGCATGATAGTGTTTGTCAAAGAGTAGGGCCATGGTCGATTGCGTTGCCAACTTCCATTTACATATTAAATGTTATTACCAACTATAGTTTTTTTTTACAAATGTTTTATATTATATAAAGCATTGGTTTTTAAATTTATTTATAAAATTTTACATTCTTCGCATAATTTGCCGTACATTGCTATAGACCATTGTTATAAAAAAATAAAAAATTAATACAAATTTTCCTTCGTTTCTCCTGCAAAAGCCATTGTTATCCCACAGAACGTATACGTTCTCCAGAGAACGTTTATAATTAATAATTAATAAGTAGAAAGTATAAAATTATAAACGTTCTCTGTACTTATCTTATCAAACTACATTAATTAAATATTTAGGTAGCAACATAAACATGACTATATTATATGTTTCCAAAGATTTCAAGGAATTCATCATGAAATAGTTCAATCTGTAAGTACATGCTTGTGGGCTTTAATATAAAATACATAGGAAATTATCTATAAATTATATGCTGAGTCGTTTGCGCATTCCAAATATACGAATCATTCAAATTATCATAGTCTTTCTCATTTAACTCTCAAAATCTTTAATTCGGTAATTTTCGTGCCCCTGATGTAAACTGTGAGGAAACACGCTTAAAAATTTTCTTTGATGAAACACGCTCATCCAAAACAGTACCCCTTCGAAGGATTAAATGTCGAAAGTTGGCATAGCAGTGAACCTTCTCTATGATAAACCTTCTCTAGCTATCCATACAATTTTAGTTAACAATAGTAGCAAAATTTCAAGTGAAACACCCTTTAATCGCGACATCATTCTGCAATTCCTTATATATGCCGGCATCTCTTTCTCTCATTTGTAATTCTAGCCAGTAACATGTAGTATTGCCGAGTGCATATTAGCTCGTGTTCAAATTGGAACGTATTCTTACAGGGTTGCTGTTGGTTAATTTTTGAAACGAATTTTCTAAATGAAATTATTAACAATGAGAGACTTTGACGACAAAACTTTACAATAATTTTATTTTCGAAAAGTTTTATTGAAAAATATCATAAATTTGGAATTTATTAAGAACGCTTGTCACATATATGCAATAAGTTGCTATTCAACCAAGCAATGTACACCCGATAAGCAACTCTGGCATTTGGATTTTCTTATTCATTGTCCTATTGCCAAACAGCAAAAGCGAAATCAGTTCGTTTCGTTCGCTCACTCGTTCGCCGCGTTGCTTTTTAACCATTGTCGTCGTCGTTCTTTGGTAGAAATAGCAAAGGAAGAAGCAGAGCTGTGTGGAAGAAGAAAAAGGCAGCAGCAATCAAAGGAGAATCTTCTTTCTTTTGTGTGTGTTGTGTGTGAATTTCAATACAAAAAATTTTCACTAGCCCAAGCTAAAAAATAATTGTGGTTTTATGTGTTGAAAATTATTTAAAAAAATGCGGAATAAACCAACGCAAGTATGGTGATTGTATGTGAGTGAGACGCGCGTGTAATTTTGCAGATATTGTTGGTGAAAAGAAAAAATATTTTGTGTGGCCATTTGCAAGTGCGGTGTTCGTCGTCGTCGTCCCGCAAAGCACCGCCCGCGCCAAGTGTCTGTGTTTGTGCGCGTGTGTGTGTGCGGTAGCCGTTGGTGCGTCGTCTTTGTCGTCATTGTCGCCGCCGCCGCCGCCTATATAAAATTGGACTGGCGGACGAACTGTTTTTCCGTTTTGATCAATCTATATTTGTGTAATTCAGTACTTTTTGAATTTGACGACGACGGTGTAATTTTCATATAAGATAAATTTGAAATATTTCAAAAACAGTGTTTGTGCCACTAAGTTTTTGAGCGCCAAGAGCCAATTGGATATGGATATTTCAACGCCAGCTTTGAACGATACAAAATCGCTGTACCGATGAATGAACGACGCCAGTGACGCGGGCCAATACTCAGCCAACAGCGAGTCGGCAACAACGAAACAAATGCCCTGTGGCCGGGAAAATAAAAGGTGCGCTAAATAATCTAATAAATATTGTATTGTGTTCAACTACATAATCTAAAATACAGTTATTAGTTAAAATTAGAAATAGGATATTGCAAAATATTGCTAAAATCGCCAGAAATTACTTTTTCTGGGTGTAGCGACTGTGACTGTAGCAGAACGTCGCTGCTGTCGACGTCGTCGTCGCTGTCACAACCTGAGCCATGTAAAACCGACAGAAAGGTAGGAAAAGTAGAAGCTAGAACCAGCAAACATCATAAAAACGATGAAGAAGCATTGCATAAAAGAGAAACGAAAAGTGTAGCAATAAGAAAGAAGGGTAATATAAGATTGGCATAAAAAGTAAACGAAGAGTGGGATGAAATAGAAGTAATTAAAAAGGAAATTTGGAGAAAAATTGTGCAGACGCGTTGAGCAGAGCAAAAGAAATACTGACGCCGCCGCCGCTGCTTTTGCTGCGCATTCTCGCATTGCCGACGTCATAAGATATGAGTACGAAAGAGCATATTTGGGAGTACAAAGAGCGAATGGCCATGAGCAATATTAAAGCACAATAACAGTAGAGACAGAAACAAAAAAAAAAATTAAACACAGCAACGACAGTGGGAGCTGTAGCAACAGCAATGCCAACAAAAGCAAATAGGAAAATTTTATGTGAAGAGGGAAGAAATTCAGTGACGCGCTGCCTCGCTGTATGCGTAGTTGTATGAAAAACATCGAAAAAATAACAATATAAAGCGGTAGAGCTGAATTCGAGTTTTGGCGTTGTTGCTGTGTCGTACAAACGCATTGCGCGGTGCTGGTGGCGGCGTTATTATTGTTATTTTTATTTGCTGTTCACTTGGTTGGCCTTTGTTGTTGCTACCGCGCTGCTGCTGCTTCTTATTAGTATTTTTTGTGCTGCCACACTCGTCTGCTAATTATAATGGTGGTTGCTGTCTGCGTTTTTTACTTACTGCCTTGCGCGTATGTGTGTGTGAATTGGTATTATTTGTGTGTTTGTTTTACCCAGTGTTGCATTTGTATTTTTACTTTGACTATGGAGTTCAACGTGAATTTAGAATTAGGCTGATGTCTGATTGTTGGCGTTGAAGTTGCTCGGTGACAAACAGCGTGCTGCACAAAACATAAAAAGTTGTATAGATTACTTATCAAATAATATGCAGGAGTATCAAGCAGATGCCTTGTTTACTTTTAAAGCAGACAGGTGGAAAGAAACAATGAATTTTTGTTTAATTTGATCCGGCTTCAAACTTTATGTTAACCGAAGATAGTCTTCTTCTTTACTGGCGTAGAGACCGCCTTTGCAAATATAGCCGAGTTAACAACAGCGCTAAAGTTATTTCTGCTTTCGCAAAGAGGCGCCAATTGGAGATTCCACCTGGTTTTTCCAACGCACTGAATGTTTTCCTTTTCCTCTGCTTCCCTCGCCCCCCGGGTATTGCGTCGAATACCTTCAGAGCTAGACTATGTCAATATCGTCGTATATCTCATACAGCCCATCGTTCCATCGAATGCTATATGCGCCGTGGCCAACTTCACTTGGGAGTGGCCAGAAACGATTCTTTTACATATGACTGAAGCAGCTCACAACTTCCGGTCCTAGACCTAGTATCCGCTGGGTAGCCAGAAAACATCCGTTTGAAGGCGAGCTAAAATGAGAACGCGAAACGTCCCCTCCACAGGGTTTTGCGCTGGGTTTGGGACCCGCCACGGGTCTATTGAAAAGTAAAAAACCGAAGGTATTAGATAGTAAAAATTTCGAATATACATATACTAATATAAAGCTATATCAAAATTGTTGAGGCTCTACCGAAAACCCGTCAAGTAATCTCATTCCCGCGCTTAGCATTTGGGCTTCGAAGAAGAACAGTTGAATAGTGGACGTTGAAGGAGCAGACCATCGCAGATGTTGCGTTACCCAACGAAACACTGAGTGTCCTTTGCACTTCGTTCTAAATACTGTAACAGGCTAAATTCCTACTTAAGTTACCCGCAGAGTGGACGCTTAAGTCCAAGTTGAGTCCAGTTTCGCAACACGCGCAACAAACTTCAGAAATGCCCTGACCGCCATTCACAGCGGATCCATTAAACCCTTCAACGACTACTTCTCAGTAAATACCGTACCGTACAAATGCATGCCCAGCATGCAACGAGTCCTGGCATGACTCTAACCACCTCTTGCATGTCCAGCTAACCGTACAAATCTAACAGCCTCCCTCCCTATTGTCCGACTCCGTCGAAACAGCACGTTACCTGGGTTTACCGTTGGATGACCTCGATCGCAACTTATCTAAACCTTACCAAACAAACGGAGATTAGATAACCGAAAGTACATGTTCAGAACTGACTAGATCTAAAAAAAAAATTATGAATATATCCCGCTTGAAATATGCTTGAGTATGATGGAAACAACTTTTTTTTCTTCAACTTCATTTAAATATTTATTTTCCTTGGTCCCAAATCTGGCAAAACAATGTAGTGACGAACTTGTCAAACAGAAAGCAAACAACAAATAAGCGGAAATAATGAAGTTAATAAAAAATTCTGCGCCTAACTGCATTATACTTGCGAACACTTTATAATTGAAAAAAAAAAAAAGATTTCTATAGTGGCAACAACAAAAGATACAATACCGCTTTTTATGAGTAATTCTTTATGTTGTTATTATTATTATTTATTTTTCTATACATTTGCATTACATTCGTTCACAAGGGATCTATTGCAAGCGCCGAGCGGATGCGTTACTTGAGCGCAATATCTTTGCGCATCTGTTTTGCTCTTCTTGTGTGGCGTGCGAAAATATCGGCATTGGAATATCAGTTTATGCTCGTTAAAACAAAAACTTTATGAAATTATGTGGATTTGACAACAGCGCATCGGCACAATTTCGTTGTTAACAACAGTTGATGGCTTGCCTTGTGCTATTCAGTGCGCTAACTTTGATCTTTGCTGCGATTTTATCAGCATTTTGGCTTTATATGCGATATTCATATATTTTATGGCTTATACTTTA